CAAGTCCGTTGGACATCCTGATCTTCAGGGGGTTGGAGAGAGAATTGCAAGGATGCCTGAGGTTTGAGCTGAATCACTATTCATCATATCTTTGCTGTTCAGAAAATGAAAGAGCCGGACATGAAAGGCCATTGAGGGCTGGAGCCAGGCCCGGGCTTCCGAGCGCCCAGTGTGGGCTCCTGGCAGCCGCTCTTGGCCGAGGGATGGAGCAGTTCAGGCCCAAGCCGTGTCCTACTTTGCCTTCCCCCGGGCGTGGGCCGAGCCTCAGCGCCCTCTTGAGCATCTTCTCCGGGGATAATTTGAGCTCCTAGCAGGAAGGCCATTCAGTACCAAGTATTTTTGTCAAAAATTTTGTTGTAAAAAAGTCTACCTTGAATTTTCAGAAGGAAAGAAGTTTTCCCCTGAAGGTGCATTGAGTCAAGGGCTTTTCTTTGCTGGATTTTTGCATTTCATTGATTTTTTTATCCATGAAACTTGATTCTATGTATTTAGTACAATTTAGAGCTGGGTCCCATAACTGTTAGTCAGCATCTCTTACATGAGGCTATAAAAGTAACTCCTGCTGCTCTTTTTTTTTTAGATTGTGGAGTATAGTTGATTTACAGTGTTATGTTTGTTTCAGGTCTACAGCAAAGTTAATCAGTATTATATACATATACTTAACACATATAATACATAATATGTGAAATATATAAATACATAACTATATAAGTACATAAGTTATAATGTACAAATCATATATAATATAAATTATATGATTTATATAAAATGTATAATTATATAATTAAAGTAAGCATATAATATTATATATTTTTAATGTATAATATCATGTATTATATATCATATGTATTCTTTTTCAGGTTCTTTACCCTTTAAGATTTAACCTTATAGGTTATTACATAATGTTGGGTATAATTTCCTGTGCTGTATAATAGGTCCTTGTTGTTTATCTATTTTATATACAGTGATGTGTATCTGTTGCGTTTCCTAGGTGGCTCTAGTGGTAAAGAATCGCCTGCCAATGCAAAAGACATAAGAGATGCAGGTTTGATCCCTGGATCAGGATGATCCCCTGGAGAAGGGAATGGCAACCCATTCCAGTATTCTCACCTGGGGAATCCCAGGGACAGAGGAGCCTGGTGGGCTACAGTCCCTGGGGTCGCAAAGAACTGAGATCCAGTGAAGCGACTGAGTATGCACAATGTGTATGTTACTCCCAACCTCCTAGTTTATCCCTCCCTCCTCTTCCCTTTATAAGCAGAAGTTTATTTTCTGTATCTGTGGGTCTGTTTCTGTTTTGTATATAAGTTCATGCTGGCGTGCCCTTGATGCTCTGTTAATTTACTGAATTGCTGGAATAGTTCGATAAGATCCAATTTCCATTCTGTTCCTCTCTCTCTTACTCACCATCGACCGCTCACCCATCTTGCTGGTTCTTTTGCTCTTCCACCATCTTCCCCCACCCCTGGCTTTTTCCCCCATGTCTCCCGCCCTTTTCACCCTCTGATCTTCCATCCAGTCCTGTGACTCAGAGGGTGGCTCCGGAGCTTCCTGGCCACTTTCCAGGCCAAACCGATGGTGAAGGCGGTCGTGCTGGTAAAGGTTCAGGAGCACATGACCTTGGGGCTCACCGTCCCCACGAAGCATCGTGAGCCTTGGGTGTAGCCGGCCTCAGCCTGTCCCTTTCGGGTGTGGGTCCTGATGCCCTCTGGAGCCCATGACCTCAGCACAGAGATGGGCCTGGGAGGAGCACGTTGGGCGGCCCGGCTCTGCCCTGCTGTGGGCTCTGCTCAGAGGGGATGGAGGAGAAGGGGGCCTGGGAGCAACGGTGTCCACTCTTTCAGACACTCACCTCTCCAGCTCCCCCGGTACCCAGAGCTCGCCTGTCTTAGCTCAGGTTAAGGCAGTGAGGCCAAAGTAGCCCAAGTGTCAACTTTATCATCAGCTCAACCAGAAGCTGCAAAGCAGACAGTGAGAACTCTTCAAAACCCAGGTAGTTTTAAGCCATAGTTGGTTTGATGTTGGTAATTAACAGTTACCATTCAGTTTCGCAAGAAACCAGATCCGAGCGGTCCTTCCCCACGTGTCCAGACACTTGACATGCAGACACAAGAGAAGCGGGGAGCCCCGGCCGCAGGCTCGGCCGGGTGAGGTCAGCCTGAGTGGTTTTATAAGCAGCTCCGAGCCAGGGCTGGGGCGGGGCTGCCGGCCGCCTGGGCGCAGCCCCTTGTGGGGCCTCGCTGGCTGGTGTGACCAGGCGCTGAAGGGTGGAGCCGCCTGGCTGCTGAGCGTCCGCTCCCACCAGTGACCCCTCCACGGTGCCAAGGCTGAGTGATTCTGGTTTCTTGCTTTTCATACTTGTCTGTGCTAACTTAGAGTATTAACTACCCATTCTCCCTCTTACCATTACCAAAATGTCTAATAATACCTTACCTGAGTAATTTTGAATTGGTTTATATATAGAGAATGGTTTGTGTCCAACTCTTTGCGACCCCATGGACTGTAACCCACCAGGCTCCTCTGTCCATGGGATTCTCCAGGCAAGAATCCTGGAGTGGGTTGCCATTCCTTTCTCCAGGGGATCTTCCTGACCCAGGGATCAAACTCAGGTCTCCTGCACTGCAGGTAGATTCTTTACTGTCTGAGCCACCCTTACCTTTTATAGAATGGTTAACAGTCAGCAGTTATACACCAATGAAAAAAAATAATGGAAAAAAAAGAAAGTCAGTTATGTATTAAGAAAAGAACAGTTAATAATAACAAAGCCTGCAGCATTAAAGATTTAAAGAGCAGAGTTTTAAATAGTTCACTACTTCTTTCAAACTTTTAAAAAAAGTTTAACAATTTACAAAAGTGTGTGCTTATAAATTTTCAAAGTTAGCAGTATGAAAGCACAAAGTAAATGCTATAGGAGCCTTTAGCAAACAAGCAAGCAGATAAATAAATAGATCTGATTTTGCTTCCCAAATGACTGTGAGTTTCTGCTTTTCAAGTTATTGAGGTTTTTTTTTAGTTTTTTTTTTTCTTTGCCTTCTCTGTTTTTGTCACTATCCATGGGCTTGTGACTAAGAGCCCTTCTCTCCTTCTATTTAGAAAGAATGTGGTATAATGTTGAGGGCCTTGGGCGTGGGAGCGAGATGCCGGGGTGGCTGGCCTTGTGCTTAAGATGGACAGTGTGTAGCACAGGGAGAGACCCCTCCTGTTTCCCATCCCTCCACAGGAGTGACCGCTGGTTCTTCCCAAAACTTCTCCGATCTGTTCAGGAGTGTACGCTTGGCGGGGGGGAAACAGCGGTGTTTCTCTTCTAAACATAAGTTGGATGGTGCTGCACACACCGTGATCTCACTGGCCTTTCTCACGTAACTAGACAAGAGCATCTCTTCTCTTTCTCACAAGAGCATCTCTTCTTATCAATACATTTATCTTGACCTTATTTCATGCCATGCACCACGCTGACTTCACATGTCCGTGATGATGCGTGTATCAGTTGTCTTGCAAACTCTTTTTGTTGCAGGTAATGCTCTAGTGAGTACTCTGGTGCCTGCCTCCTTGTCCCTGTGCAAGGGTGCACCTGTGAGTGTCTGAATCACACCTGTGCCACCAGGGGAGCTGGGCCTGGAGCCCTGCAGGGCAGGGAAGCTGGATGCCTCTCCACCTTCCACCTTTTTATTGACTGAGGGCATGGCAACTTTGTGTGCTGGACTGTATAGCAATGAAAAGCTTTTCTGTGTTGTAATTCCATGAGTTGGCCCTTGAAAGAAGAATTGAGCTTGAAAGTCAGTGTCCTTTGAAAACACTTTTCTATCTAAGCGGACTTTATTTTTTTTTTAAATATTAAAAGGGTTTATTTATGCATATGGAAACCTTCACAGAAAAGAAATGAGTACTCAGAAGAGAAGCAGTTAGACTTTGGGACTCATGTACCATTTTGACAAAGGGTGATAAATTATGGAAAGAGACTAGGAAACACATGGAGGAAACTAACAGGATAGAAGAGTTAGTGTAGCAAGGTCTGTTTGTGCAGACCCATCTTGGTGGTGGTGCCTGGTCTCCAGTGATGGGGGTCACTCTCCTCTTTCTAGAACAAGGAAGGCACGTTTCTCCTGAGAAATTTATGCCCTGCTGTCCGACAGTTACAAAGTGGGGCAGCAGACTCTTCCTGCATCTGCTGTTTCTCAATTTAAGCTGACTTTAAAAAAGGCTTGTGTGTGTGGTCCAAGCGTCATGTCCATTTAAAGCCAGGCTGCTGACCATTGAGAAACCAGAGAGGCGGCCGTCAGCCTTGCTGTGGCTTCGGGCTGCCCCGGGGGAGGCGGGGGCGGGCATCAGGAGGGAAGGCAGACCCCTTCCTACCCGTTTGTCCACTCAGGAATTTAGGTATTGAGATAATACTGTAAATGGGTTTATTACCAACTTAATATGTCGTTTGTGCCAAGCTGGTCACTTTTTAATGATGAGCTTACAACCTGAGTTAACAACATAGTCACAAGGTAAATGGTGTATCTCGATTATTTTTTTACAATTTTATAATTCATTTATTTGGCTGCATTGGGTCTTCATTGCGGGCTTTCTCTGGTTGTGGAGAGGGGGACTACCCGTTGTCATGGTCCGTGGGCTTCTCACTGCAGCGGCTTCTCTTGCTACGGAGCTCTGGCACCCTAGAGCAACAGGGCCATAGGGTGCATGGGCTCAGTTGCTGTGGAGCCCGGGCTTAGCTGCTCCGAGGCACGTGGAGCCTTCCTGGACCAGGGATCGAACCCGTGTGCCCTATACTGAGAGGTGGATTCTTATCCACCATACCACCCAGGAAGTCCCGGTTGTGTGTCTTAAACACAAGACTTTGTTCCCCAGAAAAAGTCTAGTACGGTGTTGTGGCTGAGAGTTTTATTAAGCACAGAATCCAGATGATGCCCTTCAGGACCGGGGAATGGCAGGAGTGGGGATGTCACACCTGACCTTGGAGACGTGTCCAGTGACAGCCGCGTCCCCTCTGTCCACAGTGATGGGCCTGGTCCTCCCCATGTGGGCGATCGCCCTCATCTCCTTCGGGGTCGCGCTGCTGTTCGCCCTCTTCGTGTGGCTCTTCGTGTGTCCGTGGATGCGGAGGAAGATAACAGGTACGTGCTTTTCTGTTCTTCGATTTGCACAAAGGCTCCGACTCCTGAGCCTGCAGGCATCACTCACCGTGATCCTGAGTAACAGAGGGAACACAACCACTGTCAGGCCAGTCCTTGTATCAGGGCTCCTGCCTGCTTTCTGGCGCAGATTCTTCCTGGATCACTTGGGATCCTGGTGAGAATGAGGTCCTAGTCGCCGTGGGTAATGGCGGGTAGCAAATCAGCAGCATAGCACTGCCCTCCCTCGAGAATGGCAAAAGGTAAAAAGACGAGATTCCGAGTGTGATAACTGGAATTCCCATGCATCTCTGGGGAAATAAAAACTGGTACAAACGATGGGAAAAGTGAGTTTAGCAGTTTCCTATAAAGTTAAGCAAACATTTCCCATATGACTTAAGTAATTCCACCCCTAGGTGTTTATCCAAGAGAAGTAAAACTCGTACAGAAATTAAGTCATACTAGCCAAGAGGTGGAAACAACCCACAGGCTCATTAACAAGTGAGTGGATAACCAAATTATTCATACAGTCGAGGACGAATTGGCAGTGAAGAGGGTGAACTACAGGAGGAGCCACACACAGACGCGCTCATCCTGTAGGATTCCAGAGGACAGCCACCCACAGCCACAAAAACCACCGGCTGCTGGAGACCACTGCAGACGGGGCCGTGAGGGGACTTTGCTGGGACAGAAGGGAGCTTTAGGGACAGGACAGAGCTTTGCAGGCACGGGAGGGAACTTTGCAGGACTCTGTCTTAACTGGGGGGTAGTCTGTCACTACTCATTTGTCACAGGTCATCTACCTGCACATTTTAAAAGGTACACGTTTCATTGTACAGAAATTATACCTCCGTGAAAGCAGTTTTTTGAAAAAGAAATTTGCACAAAGGCTCCGACTCCTGAGCCTGCAGGCATCACTCACCGTGATCCTGAGTAACAGAGGGAACACAACCACTGTCAGGCCAGTCCTTGTATCAGGGCTCCTGCCTGCTTTCTGGCGCAGATTCTTCCTGGATCACTTGGGATCCTGGTGAGAATGAGGTCCTAGTCGCCGTGGGTAATGGCGGGTAGCAAATCAGCAGCATAGCACTGCCCTCCCTCGAGAATGGCAAAAGGTAAAAAGACGAGATTCCGAGTGTGATAACTGGAATTCCCATGCATCTCTGGGGAAATAAAAACTGGTACAAACGATGGGAAAAGTGAGTTTAGCAGTTTCCTATAAAGTTAAGCAAACATTTCCCATATGACTTAAGTAATTCCACCCCTAGGTGTTTATCCAAGAGAAGTAAAACTCGTACAGAAATTAAGTCATACTAGCCAAGAGGTGGAAACAACCCACAGGCTCATTAACAAGTGAGTGGATAACCAAATTATTCATACAGTCGAGGACGAATTGGCAGTGAAGAGGGTGAACTACAGGAGGAGCCACACACAGACGCGCTCATCCTGTAGGATTCCAGAGGACAGCCACCCACAGCCACAAAAACCACCGGCTGCTGGAGACCACTGCAGACGGGGCTGTGAGGGAACTTTGCTGGGACAGAAGGGAGCTTTAGGGACAGGACAGAGCTTTGCAGGCACGGGAGGGAACTTTGCAGGACTCTGTCTTAACTGGGGGGTAGTCTGTCACTACTCATTTGTCACAGGTCATCTACCTGCACATTTTAAAAGGTACACGTTTCATTGTACAGAAATTATACCTCCGTGAAAGCAGTTTTTTGAAAAAGAAGACTCTGGCTTAGAAAATTGCAGGAGCTATTGTCCTGTCACTGGCAACATGATTAAATTCCAAGCCTTATGGCCACACGCTTTTACAGGGCTCTCAAAAGAAAAGAAGTACCTACTTTTGGCCTTAGAGTATACCTTACAGTCATGGTTTGATACGGACATATCTGAATTTTAAACCCACATTTCAAACAAAAACTGAACAACTGAGGAGACATTACCATGCTTATGAATGGGAAGGCTCAATACGGGAGAGATGTCAGTTCTCAAGTTGATCTGTGCATTTAATGCACTTTAAATAAAAATCCCAGCAGGATATTTTGTAGATTTAGACAAGTCACTTTAAAAATGTATATGGAGGACTTCCCTCGTGGTCCGCCTGCCATTGCAGGCAACAGGACCCCAGGAGGATCCCTCATGCCGAGAGCAGCTGAGCCTGTGAGCCACAGTGAAGGGACGCCCCTCACTCAGCAACAAAGACCCAGCACAGCCAAAAAGAAACATTTCATTAATTAAAAAAAATTTATAGGGAAAGGGACTGGAAAGGCCAAAACAAATTTGGAAAAGAGTAAAGTTGAAGGACCATGCCACAAAAAGCTACAGGAGAGCGTGGAACTGGCGAAGAGATAAACACCTAGATGAACAGAACAGGATAAAGTCTGGAAACAGACCTGCAAATAATGGCCAATTGATTCTCAACAAAGTCAGATGTTGAAAATCACTGATACAATCAATGATACTGGAATAACTGGGCATCGAATGCCAAAAAGAGAACCTTGACCTAAAGCCTTACACCTTGCAAAAAAAAAAAAAAAATGAACTCAAGATGCATCATAAGTATAAATGTAAAATAGAAAGCTATGAAACTTTGGGAGCAAAAAAAGGAAAACTTTTGGGACCTTGGGTAGAGCAAAGAGTGTTTAGGTTTGATACCAAAAACACAGTTCATAAAAGAAGTTGGTAAATTGCACTTCATCAAAATTATAAACTGTTGCCCTGTAAGAAACACTATTAAGAGAAAAGACAAGCTTCCGACTGGGAGAAAGATTTGCAAATCCTCTACGTTTCTTCAGAACGTATGAAGAAACCTCAGAAAACAACCCAATTTAAAACAAAAAATTTAAATAGCTGTTTCACCAAAAAAAGATACATAATGGCAGATGAGTCCATGAAAAGCTGCTCGACATCAGAAATACAGATTAAAATCACAAGCAGATATCCCCACACATCTATTTTAATGGCTTAAAAAAAAAAAAAAGGATAGTGCTAAATGCTGACAAGGATGAGGCACGGCTGGAATGTTCATTCATGCACTCCTAGTGGGAACGCAAAATGGTATAGCCGCTCAGAAAAGGAGTTTGATGCTTTCTTATAAGGTTAATCACTTACCACTCCTAGGTGTTTACCCTAGAGAAATGCACATTTAAATTCACACAGAAGCCTGGAGATGATTATTTATAGCAGCTGTATTTGCTATTACCAAAAACTAAAAGCCTGGATTATCCACAGAACAAACACACACGTATTTATGGAAATACATTCACGTATTAGACCACTACTCGGCAGCGAAGATGGTGGGCTGCTGAGCCTGCACCAGCATGGATGAACCTCGGGTGCATTGATCATGCCACGTTGGAGGAACCAGCCTCAGAAGCACATGTCTTATGAAGCCACTTACATGACATCTGGAAGAGACAAAACTGTAGGGACGGAGACCACACAGGTGGTTGTCAAGGGCTAGGGCAGAGGGGCTGACTATAGGGGAGCTTTGGGGCAGATGAAATCCATCTCTAGCCCGATTATGGTGGGTGCTATAGGAATCTGGACTTTTAAGATTTTGTTTTTAATGTGGACTATTTTTAAAGTCTATGGAGTTTGTCACAGTACTGCTTCTGTTTTATATTTTGGTTTTTTGGCCACGAGGCACGTGGGATCTTGAGGGATCTGGGCTCCCTGACCAAGGGTCGAACCTGTACACCCTGCATTGGAAGGTGAAGTCCCCAACCACTGCAACACCAGCGAGACCCCTGGACATTTTTTAGAATCAGAATTCTACACACACACGGCCAGTTTACCACGTACCAGTTTTAAAAACTAGTAATTAAAACACGACATCAGTACATACAACTTCAGACTAAGTAGTGATTTCACACTATGACGGGTTCATATCCAGCTGCTGCTTCCTCTCCTGTGTAGCTTGCTCCCTGCTCTTGGCTGAGAAGAACACCCCCCTCAAACGTCCTGCTTGTCTGGTTTAACCCCAGTGGGAGTGATAAACTAAACCTGAATGCTCTGACATTTAAAGCTTTTTCTGAGTGTTGTAGTTGTTCAGTTGCTAAGTCGTGTCTGACTCTGTGACCCCGTGAACTGCAGCATGCCAAGGCTTCCCTGTCCTTCACTAATTCCCTGAGTTATGGACCATAAAATCTTTGCTCCCACCTTTAGGCTGTAATGTTACAGTAGGAAACTGACATTACTACCCATTCTGGTTTGCCAAGAGATTTTTTTTGGCCAATGACATGTATTTTGACATTTCAGTATATAGGTACCTTGTTCTATTCATTTAAGTGCAGATGACAGCTAAGGGCATGGACGGAGAGTAAACTGACTGTATTTTGGGTGACCTTCAGCAAGTGACTTAATCTCTCTGGGCCTCAATTTGCTCATTTATAAAGTATAGAAAATAGTAATAACCTGTTTCATACGTTAACACGTTTTCGGGGGACTTCCTGATGGTTCAGTGGTTAAGACTCCATGCTTCCACTGCAGACGCCCAGGTTTGATCCTTGGTTGGGGAGCTGAGATCCTACAAACTGTACAGTGTGGCTAAAAACAGAACAAAAAACCAACAACAAGAAAAACACAGTTTAAAAAATTTGTTATTATAATCTTTACAGATATTAACTTTTCTCATCTACATTGTAAGCAGCTTGAGGTCAGAAATCTGTGTGTACCTTTGTTTGTTCCTTCTGGTAAACAAACAGTCTTTTAAAAAAAACCTGTCTTTTAGATTTAGATAAATATAGAGATAGAGGTAGAAAGATTGAGGGCAGGAAGAGCAGGGGACGACAGAGGATGAGATGGTTGGATGGCATCATCAACTCAACGGACATGAGTTTCAACAAGCTCTGGGAGATGGTGAAAGACAGGGAAGCCTGGCGTGCTGTAGTCCATGGGGTCGCAAAGAGTCAGACATGACTAAGCAACTGAACAACAGAGATAGAGGTGATCCATCTAGGTAAATATAGAAATGGGGGTGATGCAGGAGTGTATCCGGCAGAGGAACTGAGAAGACTGTTGTCAGTTGGGTAGGTTAGAGCTTAGACGTTTGCTCAGGGAAGTGTGAGGCAGCAAGACCATGAATCCACATACCAGATCTGATTACCAAGAATGTGCTCCAGCTTCAAAACCACTTTTTCAAAATCCCTGGTTTCTTTTGAGAGTAGAGGATTTTTTAAAGTAAGCAGAATCTCTCTGTTCCTTTTGAGGAAAATGATTTACTTGTTTCCTAAGACTTGGTGACCTGAGGAAATCTGAGCATAGTCTCTTATTGAACAGAAGAAAAGCAAACAGACCCTAACAGTATCTATGAAGACAAAAAGGATAAACATTTCAGTGATTCTGAGGTCAGTTTAAGAAAACAGAAGGCTGGTCTAGATGGTTGTAGAATTTACAGAATGTTTACCTTGGGAATCAGATCTAATCCTGTCTTTTTTGTTGCTTTTGGATGAGATCATTCAGGGCTAAGTCTCCATCTTTCCCTCCGTAGCCAAATTTTCTAGCCTGTTTCCCAGAGCAAATTGTCCACTTTATTTTCCCTTTTTTTTTTTGTTGTTCTCAAAGTATGAAAGTATCATGATAAATATTTGTTTTTTATATTAATTTGTCAATAACAAGAATTCTCTTCCAGAATTTTCAGTTATGACTCTTACTTTCTTCAGGCAAATTACAAAAAGAAGGTGCTTTATCGAGAGTCTCTGATGAAAGTCTCAATAAAATTCAGCAAGTGGAGTCCCCAGTATTTAAAGAGCTGCCGGGTGCCAAGGCTCACGACGACAGCACCGTCCCCCTCACGGGCTCAGCTGCGGAGCCCTCGGGCACCTCAGAAAGCATGTCGGGGGGTCACCACCCCCGGGCCCCATATGGTAAGTCCCTGGGGGCCGGGGTGGCACGGGGCAGAGGGCAGTTTTGGGGGAGCCAGTTGGCCTGCATGTGGCAATGAGGCTCCAGTGCACTCAAGTGTCCCCAGAGAAAACTCGGGGGCTGCAGGGCCCAGGGTTTGGTCAGTCCCAGAGCGGGCTTGTTCCTGCCCCGTGACTTTCTTCCAGGAGCCATGTACCTGCAGTCTCCCAGCAGCACTTCTGGGCCCCTCACCCATGTCTTTCACGTGCAGTCAGCTAACTGCTGGAGATCTGACTATCACTTTATCCAGCTTTTTATACAAACACCTTCCTCCTGGGAGATGCGGAGAGAAGCGGACGTTGGAACCGGAGGGGTGGTCCCACTGGAGGATCGCAGAAACCATCAGGGCCATCGCGGGGGTCCTCTGTCCCACAGTGTTTGTGGACAGTGACAGGCCAGCTCCTGCCTCTGCCACGCCCGCCTCTCTGCGGGGGCGCTGGCACCGCGGTCCAGGCTGGATCTGCAACTTGGCCAAGAAAGAGAATGAGCTCTGCCCACTGATCTGACAGATCGCCTTTGACTGTGTCCACCAGCCTTTTTTTAAAATTGAAGTATATAGTTGATTAAACAGCATGTTAATTTCCTCTGTACAGCAAAGTGATTCATATATGTGTGTGTACATGCATATATGTACATCCTTTTTTAAAATATTCTTTTCCATTATGGTTTATTACAGGATATTGAATATGGTTCCCTGTGCTGTGCCATAGGACCTTGTTTATCCCTCCTGTGTATAAAAGCTTACATCTGCTAACCCCAGCCTCCCACTCCATTCCCCTGCCCCCAAGCACCCTTCTGTTCTCTATGTCTGTAACTGTTTCTCTTTCACAGGTGGGTTCATTTGTGTCATATTTTTAAGGAGCACCTGGAGTGTGTATCTCACAGGGAAATGGGTTGAGTCCCTCTTGTATCAAGTTTTCTGTAAAATAAGCTCCTGATAGCATCCTCCTTCTACCCGATCCTGGAAAAGGAAAGAGTGCTTCCGCGATTTGTGGCAGACACATTTTAGGAGAATGCAGCATCATTTTTTAACTGCCGTAATGTTAGTTTTACCGTTTGCTGTATGTTTCCAAGGTTCCCTTTTTATTTTTACCATACTTCATGGCCTGTATAGTCAAGTTAGAAAATAAAGAGTAGGGTGGGAAAATGCAAAACCCCTCACTGTCCAGCCTTCCTGAGCTGATGTGGTGGCCCCACAGCATCCCAGGCCTGGACTCGGGCTGTCCCTTGTCCCCGCAGGCCGGGCTCAGTCTGTCCTTTGTCCCCACAGGCCGGGCGCTGTCCATGACGCACGGCACCACCAAGTCGCCCGTGTCCAACGGGACCTTCGGCTTCGACGGCACGGCGCGGACCGACGGTCACGTGTACCACACGGTGCACAAGGACTCCGGGCTCTACAAAGACCTGCTGCACCGCATCCGTGACGAGCGGCCGGCCGACGGGGCCCCGCGGCAGCTGCGGCGCAATAACAGCTACACGTGCTACACGGCGGCCATCTGCGGGCTGCCCGGCCTGGCCACGCGCCGAAGGCCGAGGAGGGCGGCGTGGAGGTCCGGCTGGCGCCCCAGCTGGCCGAGCCCGAGCCGCCGCGCGACGACCCGGTGGACGAGGAAAAGGAGGAGAAGGACTCGGCCGAGGTGCACCTGCTCTTCCACTTCCTGCAGGTCCTCACCGCCTGCTTCGGCTCCTTTGCGCACGGCGGAAATGACGTGAGGTCAGGACCAGGGCGGGGCCAGGCTGGGGGCGGGGCCTGGAGAGGGACGGGTCGGGACGGCGATCACAGGTCAGAAAAGTGAGGTGGGAGCCCCCCCGGGGCTGCCGTGTTGGATGTCCACTCCAGTCAGGAGGGTCCCCGAGGGACACCTGCAGGGACTGAGGGCACAGCTGTGACGGCATCTATAGGAGAACCTTCCGGAAGAGGAAAAAGCACTGCTTTATGGGGTTTTCCAGAAAGAACCACTAGCAAGAGCATGGCGAGCTCAGGTCAGCTGGGCACAGAGGCCCAGTGTAGGAGTGTGTAGAGTCTCTCCCCTCCTCATACTGGCCCAACATCTGGATCAGTCACTGAATTTTCTGAAGCCTCAGTGTCCCAATCTGTGAAATGGGGGTAAAACTGGTACAAAGGCAGCAGATTTCTATGAGGGTTATGGTGAGGTGCTTATGTGTCCAGACACTTTCACTATTTTCATAGTTATTATGCAGCCTAGTGTTTCTGTCCAAACGAGAGAAATGTGCCATCATTGTATTTTTTTGGCCCAGTTATATGACTCCATCTTACACCATCTACACATGTGCAGCTGCATTTCTGTTCTTTTTAAAAGATGTCTTCCAACCAGACAAAGAGGCCTGGACAGCTTATGTTCCGCTCAGTGTCACCTAGGCATTGCTGTCTTATTTTATTGGGGGCACCATGTTCTGTCCTTTCTTAATAATTTTTTACTCTCCTCCCCCACCAGCCCACTTCCTCCTCCTCATCACAAATTCTTTCTGGAAAGCCTGGTACCAGCAACATGTTATGAATTGGGTCCCTTTCCTTTAGAACTAAGTTCCAGTTAAGGAGACAAGAAAGGCATACTCCGGGGAAAGTAACAGAACACCCCAAAACAGCATTTCAAGGCAGAGAAAGAGCCTAGGCGGTAGCTGCTGCAGGTGACCAGAGTGCAGAGCAGCTGTTTGCGGTTTGGAGGCTGATTTTCAGGCTTTTGAGCAGGGATGTAGTCTGATGAAAGCAAGGCTTTAGAAATAACAGTGCAGCAGTGAAGAGGGGGCTTCTGTTTATTCAACAAGTTATTCTGTTTATTCTGCTACTAAGCTTGTACCAGGCTTCAGACCTGAGCCACTTGTAACTTACTCCAGCCCTCCCTCCTCAGAACAGTCCTTTGTAGTCCTAAGTGAAAGAAAGTGAAAGTGTTAGCCACTCAGTCATGTCTGAAGCTTTGTGACCCCATGGACTGGAGCCCACCAGGCTCCTCTGTCCAGAGAATTCTCCAGGCCAGAACACTGGAATGGGTAGCCATTTTCTTTTTCCTAGGAATCTTCCTAACCCAGGGATCGAACCTGGGATTCCCGCATTGCAGGCAGATTCTTCACTGTCTGAGCCACAGGGAAGCCTGCAGTTCTGAGTGATACCCCTCAGAAACTGGGAATCTGAAGCTCAGAAATGTGACTTTTGCCCAGGGCCACACAGTTAGAGAGCAGCCAGCTCTTTGTGACTTGGTCTCCAGAGTGTGGAGGGTGGGCTGGGAACCACAGGGGTCATTCAAAGCCTGTAGGGACCTTGGGAGTTATCACTACATCCTAACAGCAAGCGAAAACCAAATAGGCTGAAAAGTCAGCCACTCTTCTTGGAGCTCGAAGGGAGAGGAGAACACAGGAGAAACCACTGCCCCCAGGGTCGGCGAGGCAGAGATGCAGGGCGTCCTGGAGGAGGGACTCGGGAGGGGGTGCTGTGGTGAGGACCATGGAGTCCTGGACTGGAGCGATGGGCCCTGGAGGCTCAGGGGGACAAGTAGAGAGTTAAGGCTCTGGGGGACCCAGGGTGGGGGGCCCCACTATCCAGGAACCCTACCAGATCCTAACAGTGAGTTTCAGGGAAGAGGAATCCCTCCTGCTCTGGCGGGAAGGAAAGCAGCCACTAGACAGAACAGAGACCATGTGCTTAGCCAGGCTGTGCTCAGGAGAAACCAGGTCACCAGAGCCCAGCCTGCAGGGGATTACTGCAGGCTAACTGACCTGGAAGGGGACATACACTCCAGACTGCCCTGACCTTCCCCTAGGGAGAAGGGAAACTCCCCAATTCCAGCCACCCTGTCTCACATAAGGAGGGAGGAAATATTGAGAAACACTTGCCAAGTTCACAGCACAGAGGCACAGTCTCAGTGAGAGACCGAGACCTCATCAAAGGGGTCACCAAAGGACCCACAGAAGGTTTCTCCATCCCCAGACCCACCACATCACTAACAGCCTATTGACAGCAGTTCCATCTACCCAAGACATCGTGTCTGGATATCAAGAAAAATTTCCAAGGCACACCAAAAGGTGAAAAACACAACTGGAAGAGACAGAGCAAACAGCAGAACCGCTATGGCAGAGATGTTAGAATTACCAGACCAGGAAATTTAAAACAACTATGATTCATATGCTTGAGGTATCTAATTGACAAAAGAGGCATCCATTAGATGGACAGGTGGAGAAGGAAATGGCGACCCACTCCAGTGTTCTTGCCTGGAGAATCCCAGGGACGGGGGAGCCTGGTGGGGTCGCACAGAGTCGGACACAACTGAAGGGACTTAGCAGCAGCAGCAGCAGATGGACAGGTAAGCAGAGAGATGAGAATCCTAATAAAGAACCAAAAAGAAATACTGGAGATCAAAAACACTGTAATAGAAATGAAGAATGCAGGGGGGCTTTCCTGGTGGCTTAGTTGTTTAGAATCCAGCTGCCAACGCAAGAGACATGGGTTTGATCCCTGGTCCAGGAAGATTTCACATGCCATGAAGCAGCTGCGCCTGTTTGCCATAACCTCTGAGCCTGTGTTCTAGCGCCTGAGAACTGCAACTGCTGAGCCCGTGCTCTAGAGCCTGCGCTCCCGAAAAGAGAAGCCAGCACAGCAGGAAGCTCGTGCGTCGCAGCTGGAGAGGAACCCTGCTGGCCACAGCTAGAGCCAAGCCTTCATACAACAAGGACCAGCACGGCCAAAAACAGATAGATAAGTAAATAAAGTTATCTGTAAAAAATGATGACGCCTCTGATGGGCTTATTAGCAGACGGGACACAGCTAAGGAAAGAATCTCTTAGCTTGAGGGTATGTCCATATAATCTCAAAAAGCAAAGAGAACAAAGACTGAAGACATACAGTACAGAATATTGAAGGACACCGGGGACTACAAAAGGCATTGCATAATGAGAAGATCAGCAGGAGAGGAACACATGAAATAACTGACTGAGTCACAGCAGTGACGGGATTTCTGTAAGCTGATGTCAGACATCAAACTACAGATCCAGGAAGCTCAGTGAACACCAAGCAGGACAGATACTCAAAAAGCGCACATTGGCCTATCAGATTTAAACTTCAAAAAATCAAAGATACAGAGGTGTCTATAGATAGAGAGGAGCACAGATAAAAATTATATCTGACTTCCCCTAGACCCTGCAATCAAGAGAGTGGAGTGAAATAGTTTAAGTGTGAAGGGGAAATCCCACGAACTCAGACTTGTGCACCCAGTGAAGTTCTTTAAAAGTGAAATGAAGTCTTCGAGAGAAATAAAGACCTTCAGAAGGGGGAAAAAAAGGCAGGTGACAGAAACAGGAACAAAGAACAAGGACAGCAGACAGAAAGCACTGACAGGCGTGTGGAGACTAATCCAGCTGCACCAGCAAGCAGTTTGAATTTCAGTGATCCAGATGCACCAATTAAAGGACAAGAGATTATCAGAATGGATCAAAAAACACAACTCAACTGGCTATTGTCTACCAGAAGCCCACATGAAATGTAAAAACACTTAGGTTAAAAGTAAATGGGATGAAAAAAACTAAATGGAAGAAGGAAAGTATAGCATGCTAACACTAAAGGAAAGCAGGAGTAACTGTGTTGATTTCAGACAGAGGAGATGTGGACAGATCCAGCAGCAGAAATCATGAAGGACGTATATGAGCGAAACAGACCATCAATCAACTGCATGTGAATCAGTAACAAAAGATAACTGGAAAATCCCCAAATAGAGGGAGATTAAACCACATACTTCTAAATAACATGAAACGAAGAAGAAATGCCAAGAGAAATATTAAAATATGTTAAACTAAATGAAATTGAAAAACACATCAAAATTTGTGGGAAGCAGCAAAAACAATGCTTAGAAGAAAGCTTATAGCATTGAATTCATATATTAGGAAAGAAGAAAGATGTAAAATCAATAATCTAAGTTTCCAGCCTAGGAAATGAAGAACAAATTATTAATTAATCCAAAGTAAACAGAAGTAAAAAAATAATAATTAGAGCTAAATAAATGAAATTAAAATCAGGAAATGAATGGAGAAAAATCAATGAAACTAAAAGCTGGATCTTTGAAAATATTAATGATATTTATAGGCTTCTAGCCAGGCTAACTAAGGGAAAAGGAGAACACAAATTGCTGATAGCAGAAATGGAAAAGTAGACATCATTATAGATCTTACAGACAATAAAAAAAAAGTTAATAATACTATAAAAGCAATACTATGAATAATTTTATGTTTGCCAATTTGATAAGCTAGATAAAATGGACCAATTCTTGAAAGACAGAACCTGCCCAAACTCACACAAGAAGAAATAGACTATCTGATAGGCTTGTATCTATTAAGAAAATTAAGTCAATAATTAACAATCTTTCAAATCAGAAAGCACCAGGCCCAGATGGGTTTACTGGTGAATTCTACCAAGCTTCTAAGAAAGAAATTATACTTGTCTACAATTTCTTTAAGAGGACAGAAGCAAAAGGAATACTTCCTCACTCATTCTGTTAGGCCAGCATTAACCTAATACCACAACCAGACAAAGCCCTTATGAGAAAACTGCAGACCAACATTTCTCATGAAAGTGAAAATGAAAGTGAAGTCACTCAGTCATGTCCGACTCTTTGCAGCCCCGTGGACTGTAGACTACCATGCCCCTCTGTCCATGGGATTTTCCAGGCAAGAGTACTGGAGTGTGTTGCCATTTCCTTCTACAGAGAATCTTCCCAACCCAGGGATTGAAGCCGGGTCTCCCGCATTGCAGGCAGTCTCTTTACCTTTTGAGCCACCAGGGGCTCCTAAGGATATGCTAGTATCTTAGGGCAGCATAGGATACGCTAATGATGGATACATGTCAATTTGTCTAAATCCATAGAACATGTAACACCAGGAGTGAACCCTAATGTAAACTATGGACTTCGAATGATTCTGATGTGTCACTGTGGGTTCCTCAGTTGTAACTGATGTTCCATTCTGGTGGGGATGTTGTTGATGGGGAGACTTAAAGTCTTAAATAAAGTCTTAATTTTAAAAAAAAAGCTGTGGAACCCTGCCCCCCCAAAAAAGACAGTGTGTGCTCATCAAGCGCCTGAGTGCCAGTCATGGGTCTTGGGGAGGGGTGAGCACTGGAGTGAATCCTAAACTCACATCCCAGTTCTGCTTCCTGCTAGTGACATGATTTTAGCATCAGTTTTCTCATTGGTAAAATAGGAGACCAGTGCCTACTTGGCAGGGTTGGCCTGAGAAAGATAAATGGTTTGTGGTTCCTTTGCGGGGAGGCTGACCTGGTTGCCCCACACTGGTAGTTGATGTTAGTAGCTGTGCTGGCAGTGATGATGGAAAGAAATAGAGAACAAAAGGAAGGAAAGAAGAACTTGGTCTTTGTGTCCACTTCTTGTGATTTCTCAGTATTTTAAAAATAGCAGATCTCACTGCCATGAAGATGGCTACTAAAAAAGTGACAAATGTGGGTGAGGACGTGAGAAATTGGAACCCTTGTGCAGTGTTGGTGGAAATGTAAAATGGTGCGACCACTGTGGAAGACAGTCTGAAGGTTCCTCAAAAAATGGAGCAATTCCACCTCTGGGTATATACCCAAAAGCGTGGAAAACAGGGCCTCAGAGACATTTACACACCCATGTTCATAGCAGCAACTGTTCACAATTGCCAAGAGATAAAGGCAGCCCAAGTGTCCATCAACAGATGAATGGATAAACAAGATAGGATGTGTGCACACACACACAATGCGATACTCTTCTTAAAAAGGAAGGGAGTTGTCATATGCTACACCACCGATGAATCTTGAAGGCACTCTAATAAGTGAAATAAGGTAGTCGTGAAAAGACAAATACCGTATGCTTGCATTTATGTGAGAAACCTAGTAGAGTCAGTCAAATTCATGGAGCCAGAGTAAAAAGGTGGTTACTGGGGGAGGGGGAAAGGCAAAGAGGATTCTTGTTTAATGGGTACAGTGGTTCAGACTTCCGCGGTTGACATTTTCTGGAGGCCCGTTCAGCAGCAGCGTGGCTGTCGGCGGCGCTCCTGACCTGGGCAGCGGTGGTTGTCGCCCCGTCGCTAACATGTCCCGCTCCTTGCCCTCATGGACTGCAGTGCGCCAGGTCCCCCTGTCCTTCCCCGTTTCCCCGAGTTTGCTCAGATGCCTGTCCACTGAATCAGTGATGCTATCCAACCACCTCATCCTCTGCCACTCCCTTCTCCTTTTGCCTTCAATCTTTCCCAGCATCAGCGTCTTTCCCAGTGACACTTAAAAATAGTCAACGGTAAATTTTTTTTTCTTTTAGCCATAACCAAAAAAATAGCTAAATCGTTATTATCACTTATAGATTACATAGGCAAATCACAAATGCGGCAAGATGGGCTGTTCTCAAGACTGCGAAGTCATTGAATGTTGTGTACAGCATCATCTGTATGTGTGGACATTTGTACAATTTACTTGTATGTTTTGTTTTTTCCTAGTAATGCCATCGGGCCCCTGGTGGCTCTGTGGCTCATTTATGAACAAGGTGCAGTCCTGCAAGAAGCGGCGACTCCCGTCTGGCTGCTGTTTTATGGAGGGGTTGGAATTTGTACAGGCCTCTGGGTGTGGGGGAGACGAGTGATCCAGACCATGGGGAAGGACCTCACCCCCATCACGCCTTCCAGGTGAGCCGGGGGTCAGCCTCAGAGCAGGGTGTCGAAGTCCCCCTGCACAGCCTGTTCTGGGGGAGAGGGGACAGTCCCCAGAGCAGGGCGTCTCCGAGCACCGTCTCCCCCATCACCCTCATGCTCTGCTCGGCCCCCATCCGCGGTGGCACTGAGATGGGGGAGAGGGATGAGAACGGAGGCAGATGCAGACGGAAGAGAAGACGCACGATTCCACCTGCAGCCCCTGTTCCCATCCCACTGAGGGTCCTCCCAGCCTAAGGTCCAGAGAATGAGTGGTAAAGGCCGGGCGGGGACTGCCTGTCCCAACACTCTCTGCTCACAGGCTCCACCTGCTGGCGGGAGGCCACTGTCACCTGCTGCCCTCAGGGTTGATTGCCTACATCCTTCCTGGGCTGCCTGGGCTCAGGGCATGGGGTGGGGGCGTGCCCTGCCCTGGAGTGGGGTCTGGAGTCTCCCACCTGGCTTCCTGTGGTCCTCCTTTGGAGATATTTAGAGATATTAGGGGTCAAATAAATCCACAAGAGAATTTTCCAAGTAAAACTAAAATTCAGAACTACATACTTTAAGGGCTTCCCTCAAGGAAGGTGGTTACTGGGGGAGGGGGAAAGGCAAAGAGGATTCTTGTTTAATGGGTACAGTGGTTCAGACTTCCGCGGTTGACATTTTCTGGAGGCCCGTTCAGCAGCAGCGTGGCTGTCGGCGGCGCTCCTGACCTGGGCAGCGGTGGTTGTCGCCCCGTCGCTAACATGTCCCGCTCCTTGCCCTCATGGACTGCAGTGCGCCAGGTCCCCCTGTCCTTCCCCGTTTCCCCGAGTTTGCTCAGATGCCTGTCCACTGAATCAGTGATGCTATCCAACCACCTCATCCTCTGCCACTCCCTTCTCCTTTTGCCTTCAATCTTTCCCAGCATCAGCGTCTTTCCCAGTGACACTTAAAAATAGTCAATGGTAAATTTTTTTTTCTTTTAGCCATAACCAAAAAAATAGCTAAATCGTTATTATCACTTATAGATTACATAGGCAAATCACAAATGCGGCAAGATGGGCTGTTCTCAAGACTGCGAAGTCATTGAATGTTGTGTACAGCATCATCTGTATGTGTGGACATTTGTACAATTTACTTGTATGTTTTGTTTTTTCCTAGTAATGCCATCGGGCCCCTGGTGGCTCTGTGGCTCATTTATGAACAAGGTGCAGTCCTGCAAGAAGCGGCGACTCCCGTCTGGCTGCTGTTTTATGGAGGGGTTGGAATTTGTACAGGCCTCTGGGTGTGGGGGAGACGAGTGATCCAGACCATGGGGAAGGACCTCACCCCCATCACGCCTTCCAGGTGAGCCGGGGGTCAGCCTCAGAGCAGGGTGTCGAAGTCCCCCTGCACAGCCTGTTCTGGGGGAGAGGGGACAGTCCCCAGAGCAGGGCGTCTCCGAGCACCGTCTCCCCCATCACCCTCATGCTCTGCTCGGCCCCCATCCGCGGTGGCACTGAGATGGGGGAGAGGGATGAGAACGGAGGCAGATGCAGACGGAAGAGAAGACGCACGATTCCACCTGCAGCCCCTGTTCCCATCCCACTGAGGGTCCTCCCAGCCTAAGGTCCAGAGAATGAGTGGTAAAGGCCGGGCGGGGACTGCCTGTCCCAACACTCTCTGCTCACAGGCTCCACCTGCTGGCGGGAGGCCACTGTCACCTGCTGCCCTCAGGGTTGATTGCCTACATCCTTCCTGGGCTGCCTGGGCTCAGGGCATGGGGTGGGGGCGTGCCCTGCCCTGGAGTGGGGTCTGGAGTCTCCCACCTGGCTTCCTGTGGTCCTCCTTTGGAGATATTTAGAGATATTAGGGGTCAAATAAATCCACAAGAGAATTTTCCAAGTAAAACTAAAATTCAGAACTACATACTTTAAGGGCTTCCCTCAAGGCACAATCGGTTAAGAAACTGCCCACAATGCCAGAGACCTGGGTTTGATCACTGGGCCGGGAAGACCCCCTGGAGAAGGGAATGGCAACTCACTCCAGTATTCTTGCCTGGAGAATCCCATGGACGGAGGAGCCTGGTGGGCTACAGTCCATGGGGTCGCAAAGAGTCAGACAGGACTTAGCGACTCAACCATCACCACCACCTATTGTAAAAGGTCTTTTCCCCTTGAAATTCATTTTAACAAAAGATTCTAGCATTGATTTGAAGAAAAACTAGTAATCTGAGCAAAAAGTCCTTTATGATAATAAGCACACATTTTTGAAACAAGAGTGTGGTTCTTCCCTGCGTCCATTTAGAAACGACGTGTGTACAGTTTTCCTTGCGGCAGGTATTCCTGGCCCAGCCCCTTCAGGTGAGGTTTCTGAAAACCCATCAGGGAGACAGGACTCGCGCCTTCGGGCTGAGTGCAGCCTGGCAGCGAGTGCCGTGTGATGCTGCCGCGATGTCCGGGTTCTGGTGCTGTGCAGCCCAGTCCACCAGGAGGTCCTGGGGAACCCCTGGCAGTGCCCTCACGGCCTCCTGTCTCCCCCCCACAGCGGCTTCACCATCGAGCTGGCCTCGGCCTTCACCGTGGTCATCGCCTCCAACATCGGGCTGCCAGTCAGCACCACGCACTGCAAGGTAGGTGGGCTGGCCCGGTGGCCAGGGCGAGACGGTGGGGGGTAGTCGGGGCGGCTCTGGGCGTGCACTCAGGGATGGCAGAGTCAGCTGGGGTCTCCCGGGGGCATCTTCTCAGCAGCCCCTCTGGGCTCTCCCCGCCCTCCTCCCCCGTGTCCTGGTTCTCTCACCGGGGGTTTTGCATTGAGGTCCTGCGTCCATGAACCATGTTCGTAGGCCCGGGTCGGGTGAGGAGGGGCGCATCACTCAGTCCCGCCGACCCCCCTCTGAAGGGGTCCAAGGGCGGACAGGAGACAGACATAGGCACAAATCGCTCATGTGAGCGTAAGACACAGCTGTTTCAGTTCTCTTCTCTTCTGTATGGTGGTCAGAGCAACCCTATTGCCTTTGAGTCAATTGCAGAAGATATTAACCGCTGTTAATATCAGGCTCTAGAGCTCAGGGTGAGAGGGGATTTCTTGTCTAGTGCTGAGATGTTGGAGCTGTGAGGAGCCTTAAAGATGAAGAAAGAGGAAACAGGCTCTGGGAGTTGTCCAAGGGAGCCCCAGGGTGGGCCAGGCTGGAACCCAAGTCTGCTAACCCAGGGTTGCCAAATACCTGGGGGAATTCTGAAATCTGCCCAGGGGCCTCCTGTATACAAACACAGCCACTAACTTCAGCAAAACACAGGCCTTTGTGGGTTTTCCTAGGTTCAGTGACTCCTGTCATTCAAGAAAAACTCACCTGTTCTGCTCGGTGTGAGGTGCTCTCCTGGGCACCGAGGGACCACGGTGACTGTGACAGACACGGCCTCCCCGCACCCAGTCTCAGAATTCCCACCCGTGTGTCTGCTGAGTGTGAAAGGCTCACAAAAAGAGTGAAATAATGCCGTTTGTAGCAACATGGATGGACCCAGAGGTTATCATATTGAGTTAAGTCAGACAGAGAAAGACAACTATCATATGATATCACTTAGTAAGGCATTGAGTCTAATTAACAATGATACAGATGAACTTATTTAGAAGACAAAAACAGACTCACAGACATAGAAAACAAGCTTATGGTTACCAAAGGGGTAAGGGAAAAGGACCGATAAATAAAGAGTTTGGGATTAACAGATACACAATACTATATATAAAACAGGTAAACTCCAGGGGCCTACTGCACAGGGAACTATGCTTAATATGTTATAATAACCTATAGCGGATGAGAACCTGTATATATATATACACATAAAATATATATATATATAACTGAATCACTTTACACCTGAAACTAACATAACATTGTAAATCAACTATAATTAAAATAACTACAAATAGGATCACTAGCCTCTAGGTTTCAGCTATCTAACCTGGAAAATGAAAAGACTTAGATGACTTGTAATACAGATGCTGTCTGTTTCCCCTACTTCTCAGTAATTCTCTTGCTGTTAGTGCTTGATGATGGACTTAATCTGGAAACATACTCAAAAAGTTGAAAGGACAGCCAAGAATACCACCTTATATCAACAAAAGACCTCATCAATGGTGAAGCCATGGGACTCTGGACCCTTTGTGATCCAAATAACATAGCAACTAAAAATACAAGGCAAAAGCTGTTAGAACTCAGAAATTACTATGTCTAAGTCTGTGATAAATGAAGAAGATAGAAGTACTTAGGAATGTAAAAGATTTGAATAGATTTATAGTAGTATAATTGGGCTTCCCTGGTAATTCAGATGGTAAAGAATCTGCCTGCAATGCAGGAGACTTGGGTTCAATCCCTGAGTCAGGAAGACCCCCTGGAGAAGGGAATGGCTACCCACTTCAGTGTTCTTACCTGGAGAATCCCCATGGATAGAGGAGCCTGACAGGATACAGTCCATACTGAAGCTGCTTAGCATGTATACTTAGCAAGCACACATGACAAATAAATATGAAACAAAAAGTGGGGAGGGGGAGTGGAAAACCTGATCAGAACAGTAGGAAGAAATTAAGGAAGTTCTCCAAAAACAATTCTCACCTGAAAAGACAAAAGGAGGAAAATGCTGCTTGACTCCAGATCTCGATGGAGTCGCTGGTTAATCTTTTCTACCTCAAAAGAGAGCATTCTCATATTAAATGAACTTGCCATAATATAGGAGAAAATAAAACAAGAAGCCCTCCAGTTTGTTCTATGAAACATATACTGAATAACCTAATACTGAAACCTGATTGAAAACATCACAAACAGTGAAAGCTGTATTTCCAGATGTATGTTGATTAAAAAAAAAAAAAAAAAAAAACATTTAAGTAAGATGCTAATAAATGACATCAACACTATTATGAAAGAACATTTCAACAGGACCACACTGATCTTCTGGGTTGTCAGAAAGTTGGCTCTGACCAGGACAGGTCTTATCTGCTGCTGATACCTATACGGGGCAGGCCCCTCACAGAGCTTGAGAAATGGGTGTTTACAGATGTCTTCAATATAAAATGGTTCATCGATCCATTAGAAAACAATGTATGGTTGTCTGCTGAGATCCATTCCAAAAAGACATTTAATAAAATTCAGCATGAATTTCTAAGACATTCCTGGATCCAGTAAAAATGACTGGGTTTGCGATAAAAAAAACACAAAAATTTAGTAGAACTTTTGCCTGTCAGCAATAGCCAGTAAGAAAATGAGATAAAAACAAAGAACTCCTCCATAGTTGCAACAAAAATAAAAGTTACTTCAGAAAAATCCTAATAAAGTGAGAGATGTACATGGAAAAAACACAAAGCTTTGCTCACAGGTCAAAGAAAACCTGAGTATGAGACATACTGTGTCGTTGGGTGGGAAACCAGGTTTTATAAAGATGTCAGTTCTCAAACACGCCAACCAGTTCTTACAACTTTACAAACTAAGGCTGTAGTTAATTTTGTGGGTTAAATTAGCAGGAATATAAAATAATCTACAGAGAAAAACAATGATGAGGGAACAGCCTGGCCAGATAGGAAGTCTGTTACAAGGAAACAGGAGGCAAGAGGGTGGGGAGAGAGGGCTGGTGGGCAGACTCTCAGGTTGGGATGACAAAAAAGTTCTGCAGATGCGTGGTGATGATGGTTGGCATTAAATTGTACACTTAAAAATTATTAGCATGACAGATTTTTGTGTTGTATATTTTACAATAATAAAAAATTAGATGAGTGAGTGAGTGAGTGAAGTCGCTCAGTTGTGTCCAACTCTTTGCGACCCCATGGACTGTAGCCCACCAGGCTCCTCCGTCTATGGGATTCTCTAGGCAAGAATACTGGAGTGGGTTGCCATTGCCTTCTCCATGGGATCTTCCCCTCCCAGGGATTGAACCCAGGTCTTCCGCATTGCAGGCAGACGCTTTACTGTCTGAGCCACCAGATACTTGTATAAAAAAGTAGATAGGCCAGAGATCGAATGTAGTATGTATGAGCATGTAGTTTGAGGAAGGAAAACTTTGACCAGTAAGTGATGTTGGATAACTGGCTTTCCCCCTAGAGAAGCAAACTTAGACCCACAGTTGTCAAAGTACGTGCTATTATCTAATGGCTTTAATATTTTTAAATTACTTCAAAATTTAGAATAAAATAGAATTTTTTAAAATTTAAAATAAATGAGAGTTATGGGCTTCCCTGGCGGCTCAGTGGTAGAGTCCACCTGCCAACGCAGGAGACGTGAGTTTGATCCCTGATCCAGGAAGGTCTCACCTTCTACAGGGTAACTAAGCCCGTGCACCCCAACTACTGAGCCTGTGCTCTAGAGCCGGGAGCCGCAACTACTGAGCCCACGGGCCACAACTAGTGAAGCCCACGGGTCCTAGAGTCCATGCTTCACCAGCAAGAGGAGTGACCACAGTGAGAAGCTTGTGCATCACAACTAGAGAGTAGGCCCCACTCGCTGCAACTAGAGAAGAGCCCGCACAGCAACACAGACCCAGCACAGCCAAAGATAAGTATTTTTAAATAAAGGAATGAGAGGTAAATACCAAATATTCAAGCCAAAGATCAATCACAGAGGAAAGGTATAGCGTATTTTAGTGTATGACATTAGAAATTTAAAAGTGAAAGCAAAAATACTGACTTGAGAAAATATTTGCATTAAATATCAGTTAATATTTATTTAAACAGCACATAAACAAAGAAGACCTTAAATGGCCTGGGTAGCCGCGATGTGGTCTCTCAGGGCCAGACATCCTGGAGTGAGAAGTCAAGTGGGCCTTGGGAAGCACGGCTGCCACTGAGGCTAGTGGGGGTGACGGAATTCCAGCAGAGCTGCTCCACATCCTGAAAGATGACGCTGTTCAAGTGCTACACTGAACATGTCAGCAAATTTGGAAAACCCAGCAGTGGCCACGGGACTGGAGAAGGTCAGTCCTCATCCCAGGTCCCAAGAAAGGCAGCCCTAAAGGATGTCCAGACCGCCGGACGGTTGCACTCCTCTCTGTGCTAGTAAGGTGTGCTCAAAATCCTCCAAGCCAGCCTTCAGCATTACGTGAACCGGGCACTTCCAGATGTTTAGCTGGGTTTAGAATAGGCAGAGGAACCAGAGATCAAATTGCCAACATTCGCTGGATCATGGAGAGAACATTCCAGAAAAACATCTACCTCTGTCTCATGGACTACACTAAAGCCTTTGACTGTGTGGATTAAAACAAACTGGGAAAACACTTGGAGACATGGGAATACCAGACCATCTCACCTGTCTCCTGAGAAACCTGTATGCGAGTCAAGAAACAACAGTTAGAACCCTGTGTGGAACAACTGACTGGTTCAGGATTGAGAAAGGCTGTTTATTGTCACCCTGTTTATTTAACTTATACACAGAGCACATCATGTGAAATTCCTGGCTGGATGAGTTACAAGCTGGAATCAAGATTGTCAGGAGAAATGTCAACAACCTCAGACATGCAGATGATGCCACTCTAATGGCAGACAGTGAAGAACCAAAGAGGCTCTTTAGGGTAAAGGAGGAGAGTGAAAAACCCGGCTTAAAACTCAATATTAAAAAAACTAAGATCATGACATCTAGTCCTATCACTTCATTGCAAATAGATGGGGAAACAATGGAAACAGTAAGAGGCTTAATTTTGGGGGGCTCCAAAATCACTGTGGATGGTGACTGCAGCCATGAAATTAGAAGACCATTGCTTCTTGGCAGGAAAGCTATGACAAACCTAGACAGTGTGTNTGCCGGAGCCTGCCGGCAAACGAACCGGTCACGGGCGCAATCGCCGAAATACCTGAGAAATAAAAGAAAGGACTAGGAAAGAAAAGACTAGAAAAGAATGGGGTTGAGAGGGACAGAGTCTGCTTGCGTCTGACTCTGCCAACTTTATTGAAGAATACCACACCTATATATATGCTAACAGGAGTTGCTAATAGATCAAAGGTTTGCACATGTGCAGAGCTACAGGCACAGGTGTTTTAAATTCCTCCACTTAAGATCAGTAAAGCATCACCCTAGCACCCAACTGAAATCAATAGAACATTAACTGGATAGAAAACAGGCTTCAATCATGACGAGTTTATCAGCAACAGGTGAACAGGTGAAAGATCACTACAGCAATTTCCTTGATGGAGGTGAGAAAGGCCAACCTGTGCTTTAATAAATCAGGGGTGGCGGGACAGAGAGGGATCTCTTGATCTCTCTCAGAGCTAAGAAGGAGCCTGAGCAGTCAGGCTGGCTCCCCGCAGCCATTCTAACAGGTGATGTCCCATTGTGGTTTTGATTTGTGTTTCCTGGATGATGAGTGATGTTGAGCAGCTTTTCATGTGCCTGCTGGCCATCAGTATCCTTTTTGAGAAAAATGCCTGTTTAGGTCTTCTGTCCATATTTTAATCAGGTTGCTTCTTTTTTATATTGGGTTGTATGAACTGTGGCCCTCTTCTCCTCCTGCCCTCAATCTTTCCCCGCCATCAGGGTCTTTTCCAGTATTAATCCTGGCATTGTTTCTAATAGGGAAAAATTGGAGGCAAATTGGAAATGTTTAAATAAATTAAGGTACATCCACCTAAAGGGTGTACCACTTTTTATGATGGTCATGAAGGTGTGAGCACTATGAGAAAATGTTTGTTTTCTTAAAGAAAGGAAACAGTAGTGTTCCCTGTTTACAAATATAGGTATGTTTATTAAAAATAATATAAAGGAATACACAAATGTGAAAATAGTGATGTTTTGGGATAACTCACTAACAGTGGCCATCTGATAATGTTGGCCACTTGATGTGAAGACTCACTGGAGAAGACCCCGATGCTGGGAAATATTGACAGCAAAAGGAGGAGAGGGTGGCAGAGGATGAGATGGTTAGATAGCGTCACTGACTCAGTGGACATGTATCTGAGCAAACTCCAAGAGATAGTGAAGGACGGGGAAGCCTGGCGCGCTGCAGTCCATGGGGTTGCAGAGAGTCAGACACAATTTAGCTACTGAACAACAATTAATAGTGGGTAATTGTCCACTCCTCCTATTACATAAACTTGCAGTAATATATTTTCTGCTTTTAAGAAAAGTGTTTTAAGAAAGAGAGTGTGGATAACCTTAAAATTTGAGTATGTTCTCTTATGTGTGAGGTAATCCAGCCTAGCTGAAGAGGGACTGTATCAAGGAGAGTCTCATCTCAGAAGCCACTGGTGGTAGACTTGCTGTATTTGAGGACCAGTAGGACCTCGCTAGTCTTTGTGCAGCAGCAAAGTCTCGATTGTCTCCTGTGTGCTAGAAACTGGTTTTAGACAAAGGATTTACATAGAACGGTCATCTAATGCTCCTTAGATGGGTTGTTAGTTGCTACCTGGAGGTGGTATAGAATTGCTAATCACAGCTTGGGTTGACACAATGTCAGATTAACTTCCTTAAATATGCTGCTGGTTTTGCTGTTCCAGTTTGCTTCCATAAACAAGTGAAGTATTGGATATTATTGTTTCTGCTGACCTCAGAATACACCCCAGTTGCTCTTTGAAGCTCACTGGCCCCTGAAGCTCACTGGCCCCTACTAACTCTGAAATAATTCTGGTCAGTGGAGACAAAACCTGTTTCATGGAGATGTTCAGAGGCCCCTCCCAGGGGTCAAGGGCACCTTGTGTCTCTGAGCTTCATCAGAGCTTGATTGAGGTGTGAGATATTAGGCTTTATACTTTCTCATGATTTCCATTTTTAGATACTTAAAGTTGTGTGTTTTTCCCTTTGTAAATTTCATAAAATGAACTGCGAGTGTACACAGAAATATTGAATCCATGTTAACATATTGATTTTCAAGTATCTCTCTTATTTGTGAAACATGATTGACATTTTAAAACCAATAATATTTATGTCCCATTTGATTAATTTTTTATCAGTAAAGTACAAGGACTGCAAACTAGTTGGAGAAAATGTTTAAAATCAAGAGCCCTCAGTTCTCATCCTCACCCTGCCATGACTTAAAAATCTTCTCCTACCCCCTACGCCCTCTGGAAGTGTTTTATCTTCCACAAACTGAGCCACATGGATTAGACCTTTGCAAAGATCTCCAGCTCCAACATTTTATGATGTTTTTATTCGAGGAGGAGGGTACGTTACTGCCATTTCAAAGGTTCACCACTGTAATCAACAGTCTCCTGCCTGGGGAGTATTTAAAATAAGGGCCGTCACAGCTGATTGCTAAAGTGCAGGGAGAAGAGAAAACATTTGCTTGGCTAAGCTTCCATTCAAATAGAGCAGAATACATGCGGAAAAGTGCTTCAGAACTCTTTTCTGGACAGAGTAATCCTAAAATAATTATAGCTAAAATCTAGTAAGTGTTTTTAAAAGCTTTTTATCAGATTTAGGGGACAGAACTGGTCGTCTTACACTGTTGGCTGAATGCAGATTGCGTCTCGCCTGGGTTTGCTCTGAAATGCTGGTGCTCCTTCCTCCAGGTCGGCTCGGTGGTGGCGGTGGGCTGGATCCGCTCGCGGAAGGCTGTGGACTGGCGCCTCTTCCGCAACATCTTCGTGGCCTGGTTCGTGACGGTGCCCGTGGCCGGGCTGTTCAGTGCTGCTATCATGGCGCTCCTCATGTACGGGATCCTTCCATTCGTGTGATCGCTCCTTGGCGGCCGGCAAATGAGGGACGGTCCAGGGTGTGTGCATGGGTGCTGTGGGCTCACACCCGCACGCACACGCTGTGCCCGTGCGCGGGCTGCCCGCCGGCCAGCGCCTCCACGCCCCTCTCAGATGTTCCAGACCACACTGTCCACCTAGGTGTAGCGTCATCATCCAGAGCTAACTTAACTACTGTACATAATACTGTGCATTCAACTGGTATTGTGGCGACATAACATGGTGCGGTTACTTATATATTAAATATATATTGTATACATAGAATAATAGCTAGTATTATTTCAGAGATGCTCGAGATGGGAGTGGAGCTACCTGCCTAGATTTCAATATTCAACAAATCTTTGTACATACCGATTTCAGCAGCAGATTTTAAGAACCTTTTAAAAGGAAAATGTAGATTGGAAGACGGTGTTTTTTTCCCCATTTAATATACTGTAATGTAAGTGAGATGCAGGATGAAGGAGGCCCATTTGGGAAGGTGTATGTGTGTCCGTGTGCTGTTGACTCATACTGGAACAGGAGTTCACAAGTGCTTTCACTGAAGAATTTGTTCATATACTGTGTATTGATTATGTAATATATCATGAATTGCTTCTGTAAATACTTAAAACTGTAATTTTTTAATGGTGTGCTTCCCTTATACTTTTTTGATCAGAGAATTTTGGAAAGTACCAAAGAAGCAGCGGAATAGTTTGCCAGTATTATATTTTCATACTGTTTGTGTCCCCCTCCCTTCTCAATAATCCCAACATCAACCCTGGGATGTGGCGCGACCACCACGTGGAGCAGGGTGTATGCTGAGACACCAGCCCCCGCCACGGGCACGCCCCTCTTCCAGTCCCCCCAACACACCCCCCACTGCTGCCCATGCCAGATCCTGACCCCTCGATGCTGTCAGCATAGAGGTTGTACGGACGTGATTGAGCACTACATGTCAAGTCCAGTTTAAACTCCTGCCCCCCGCCTCCCCTGCAGCCTGAAGAATGGGACTCTGACCTCAATCATGAGGCAAGTGCTTTGGCCTTCTAGAAATTCGGGAGTGGGGAGGGTTGACCTGTTAAGACAATACACTGGACTTGAGGACTTCTTTGAGGCCTTCATGGAGCAGAGCATCCTGGTTGCTCTGCTGTGGTCCCCACTGGAGTCTTCTCTTTTTTTGATAGCGGGAGGAAGTACGACTAATGCAAGAGCCTGAAAACTGTGGAAATGCTGCTAAAACTTTTATATTGACAAACACTTTCTCGGTACTTCATTGTGATTTTTCATTAATCAACCATATTAAATTTATAATAAAAAATGCCCCTCAAAAGTTTGCCTCTGAAGTCTTTTTCTACATACCTATATTTTTTCTTACTGCATTTCCACAAAAATAAAAGCTATAATTCGTTTGCTTCTGTTTTTCAAATACCTTTTTTTCCCCTCTTATTTTACTACTGTTACCTGTTTGTGCCCAAAATACACAAGAGGAAAGGATGGCCCCCAACCCAGCCATGCATTCACACACAGTGAGCCTTCAGTGATGAACTGCCTGCCAAGAGAGCTGGTCCCCGATGGGACCTGTCACACTCTGCTCAGACTTCTCATTTCATACTTTTTTTTTTAAAAGGAATTTTTCTAAAATTGTTATCTCTTTACGTTTGGTTACACTGGGTCTTTGTTGCTGCATGCAGGCTTTCTCTTAGTTGCGGCGGGCAACTAGATTGAACCTGTGTCCCCTGGGTTCGCAGTGGATTCCTAGCCACTGGACCACCAGGGAAGCCCCCCGGTTCACCCTTAAGTCAGCCAGACTCAGCAGCGTTGGGGCCGTGGCTCGCCCATCTAGGGCTGAGGACCCAGCCAGAGCCCACGTCCTGTCTCCCTTCTTGGCTCCAGCAGCCAAGAACACAACAAGGACACAGCTCCCTGGAGCCTCAGGACCTTCAGAAGGAAACTTCCAGCCTCTGTGTCAGAAGTCATGCTCTCTGTCTCCTTCTGGGGCCAGGAAGGTAGGAGAGGAGGAGGGCTGGCCAGGTGGAAACTCTCCGCAAAGAGTCTTGCCTGCCCTGATTTTTAAATGGTACTTCAGGCTTTTCATGGCCCTGCTTTTGATAAAACTATAAAGAAAGTTCTGTTTCCTCCTAAACTTTACAAGAAAAATAATGGCACAACAGTGTCAGGCTGCAAGGTCTGTCCTGGTAGATGGGCTTCTGTCTCAGTGCAGTGGCTGGAAAAGAGGGTTGACAGGATTTCAGTCTCACTGCACCTGTCTCAGTAGCCAGGATGGCAGAGGCCCCGATGTGAAGCAAGACAAAGGTAACGACCACACGGGGCCCTGCAAGAGAACCATTTCAGATGCAGACACACAGGCTGAAAGGATGGAGAAAGGTACTGTGTACAAATGGAAACAGAGAAAGCTGGAAAAGCAATACTCGTTACCAGTCAAAATAGAATTCAAAGACTAACAAAAAGACAAGGACATGATGTAATGATCAAGGGATTAATCCAAGATCAATTCAAAAAGATGTAGCAACTGTATATGCACCCAACATAGGAGCACCTCAATCCATAGTGCAAAGTTCAATAGATATAAAGGTAGGAACTAACATTAACATAGTATCAGGAAGGGACTTGAGCACCTAAGTTACATCAATGGACAGACACAAAATTAACCCAGAAACACTGGTTTTCAGGCCAATCTGTGCATTGCTGCTTATACCTATATTTCTATACCAAAGCGGCAGAATATACATTATTTTCAAGTGCACAAGTAACAGTCTCCAGGATAGATCATAAGCTAGGCCACAAATCAATTCTGAAAGTAAATTTAAGAAGACTGAAATCCTGTCAATTCTCTTTTCCAGCCACTGCACTGAGACTAGCCAGTGACTAAACAGCGTGCAGAGACAAGCCTTGCCTGCTGCCCCTTCCCCCTGCTGCCCCCAAGTTATCTAACTGGGATGGCCTCCCCTCCCCACGAGGGCAAAGGAGGGACCCTACCAAGGGGACAGGATGCTGATAGTCTTTCCTTTGAGTTAATCAGCCTCTTCCTCAAAATGCACACACTTCTCAGACCAGGGACCCTCCGTGTCCCTGACATCTTACTGTGCTGAGGCTTTGTCACCAGATGCTCTGTGGTGCAAAGACAGGGGCGTGGATCTGAGGGGCTCCTGGGGGATGCAGCCTCCCAGCCCGGCCTCCCGTCTCTTCAGGGCAGAGCCTGAATGCAGCACAGGCCGTAGACCACCAAGAGAGCCAGAGCAGGATGCATTTGCTAGTCATTTCCCAAGGCCAGCAATCCAGAGGTTAAATCAAACTCTGAATGTTGATTCCAGACTGTGAGTTGGGAGGTTACTGGGGAAGGAAGGGAGGAAGTCAAAAGGAACAAGACAGACGGACCTCCGCGGCAGGAGGCCTGGACCCCACAGCCAGGCTGGCACCTTCCACTGGCAGACGACAGTGGCGCCCAGTGGTGTCAAATGTAGCTGCACCCATGTCCGTCTTTCCAGAAGCTTTTAAATTGCAGCGGTAAAGTCACCTCACAGAGTTCAGTATATCATAATTCAAGGAGTTGTCAGAAAGGTCAGGGGTTCTCTGTGCCGCTTTGACGGCCAGAGGGGACCGAGTACCGCCAGAGGAGAACCTCAATCTGGATGCAGAAACCCAAACCAGGCCCATTTTCTCGGGCCCACACTCACTGAGTAAACATGTGCCCATCATGTCCCAGGTGCTGGCCTGGCCATAGACACAAGCAGACAGGCCTCGTGGAGCTCATCCTCGGGGGCGGTGGGTGCACAACACTGCCAACATGATGGTGTGACTGCCTTGCTGTGGGAGTGCGCCCAGAAGGCAGGAGCCAGGGGGTGGGGGGTGGGGGGCGGCTTTCAGAAGAGGTGGAACGTTGGCAGAGACACCAAGAGCACAGTGACGGTGACAGCACTGGCTCTCTTGGGAGACACTGTGATTCAGAAGCTGCAGAACAGCCGAGAAGCACATCTGACAGGCTGCTCCCGGCAAAGGTCTGTAGGTGGTCAGCCACCCACCAAAGGCCTGACAAGCTGGCTGGAGAGTAAGGCTCCAGAGACGAGACTGAGGATGCCTGCAGGGTCATGAATGAATCAATGTTAAAAAGGAAGATCAAAAGCGACTAGGCCACAGGAGTTACAAGGCTGTAACAGGGGCTGGGGGTGGGGAAGGAAAGGAAGGGGACGCTGGGGAGTGGAGGGGAGGTGCTGAGGAGCATTTTATGGGGCAGAGGAGAGCTGGTGAGCGTCTCAGCACCAGCACACTGGGGAGGCTTCCTCTCCCAGGCAACTGCACTCCAGACGCCTGCAGTCACTGTGAGGGGCCAGCACAGGGCCTGGCACAGAAGCTCAAACGTGCTCTCCTTTCTGCTACGACTATCGTGACGAGGGCACTTAGACCACAGCCCTGCAGCCGCACAATCCAATGAAACTGCGGAATAAAGGCTGAACTCCACATCCTTCTGTTCATGTCTGGGTCACCGTATCAACACAAAGACTGGCTCTTCGGCTCTACAAGGAGGGAAAAACACTAACCTGCAACAACCTTCCCACCTACCTCGGGCCGTAAATACAACTCCCCTCGTCAGACAAGGTAATGAAGCAGCGCGTGAGGGGGCATCTCACCAGCGGTTTTCTGCATCTCCTCAGGCCCCCAGCGTTTCCATCCCCCACCCTCGCCACCGCCTGGCTGAAGAGAAGCCCACAGTGACACCCTCTAACCCCAGGAACCACCAGGGAGGCCCAGCCAGCCCTGCTCAGCGTCCCATTCACGCTCAGGTTGCACAGTTCTCCCAGAAAGACACAGGAGCCCACTACACAGAATGAATTCGTCGTTTACCCCCTCACCCCTTCTCCTTTTCTGTTATACTTCATCTCCTGTGAGGATGGCTCAACCCACAGAAACAATGAGAAAATAAAATTGTATCGTGTGGCCGGTATCACAGATGATACCTGACATAAGAAGTGGTGGCTGGAATCTGGATTCTCATAGAGAACCTTTGGTGGGGGCAGGGAAGTATCTTGCAGCACTGATGTTTTCCAAAAGCAGCTGTGTCCAGTTGTTCTTAAGATGACTGATTTGGACAGTGAGAAATCTGAACAGGCCAATCAGAGTACAAGTATCAGCGAACCCATGAAAACAGCTCCATCTCACTGGCCGTTAGGGAAGCACTGTTAAGACATTCTTCCTCTAAAAGTGGTAAAAAAATCTTTAAGTCCGTCAACATTCAGCATTTTTGCAGATGCAGGGAACAGGCACCCTGTACCACCACTGGCAGAAACAGAGGTTGGTACCAAGTTTCTGAAAGGTGACTCTGTGCTGTCCATCAAACGTGCCCAGCACCTGTGACTCAGCACCTAACTGCCCGACACCGATCCTGGGGACGTGCACTAATGCAGCTGCCCCCACTGTGCATGTGGCCGTGCAGTTTGATAAAGACACGGAATTAAAGACAGCCCTTCCACTGACCTACCGCACGCTGCCGACTGGGACCGTGGGGACACACACCATCTTCACCACCACAGAAGACTCTCCTGGGCAGTGCGCCCGGGAGACACTCACGGTGTGGACAGAGAGAAGTGGACAGAGATACTCAGTGCAGCACCGTCTGTACGGCAAGCTGAATCCAGCAAAGAGGGGAGCAAAGAAACGCCGCACCGATTCAGAAGTATGAAAATTACGAGGCATGTCTATACAGATAGAAAAGCTGCTTTGTTCACTTGAAAAGTATGCTGCGAGACAAGATATGCCTTTTAACATTTCATAAAGATACTTATGCAGTCACTAAAGACATTGAAAAGTATCTACAAGGATGTATGTCAAACTGCTAGTGACAGCGGAAGAGGACTGGAGAGAGGAAAGGCAGGCTTCACTTTTATTTACAACCACACTGACTGAATCTGCTGCAACCAGCGCATATTGTTAAAAAAATTTTTTTCCCCCAGGAGTTCTACTTTTAGAAAGAAAATTTACCAGCAAGCCCCGAAGATATCACAGTCTCCTCACTTCTCTTCTGAACCGCTATTTCCATCCTCTGGGCATCATTTTTCTACATCAAAAGCCTTGTCCCGAGACCCACGGGGCCTCGGGTATGCCCCCTGCTCCAGCCTCTCCCCAGCAGCATTTCCCCGCTGCCTCCTTTCCACCCACTGACACTCTCGCTCCCCCCCAGCAACTTTACAGGACTACCAGGAGGACACTCTCTCACTGCAATCGGCAGCGAGCAGCCCTGGAGACATGGCCCCGCCCAGCAGGATGAGACTTGGGCTGACCCGCAGCAGCGGCAGCAGGGAGGTCAACAGAAGAGGC